GAGGGGAGGGGATTGTCTCCTCCTCCTTGAGTGGCTGTTGCAGCAACGTCACATTGGGGAAGAGCTGTATCCAAGACTGGGGAGCCTGCCTGGGAGGGAACCTTGTTCTCTATTAGTTCTAGGGGGGACAGATAGAGAAATCCTTCATCCCCCTCCAAGTGTCTTCTTCGTCACCTACAAATGGTCTCTCCTTTCTTCCTCCTCCTGAAAGAGAAGAGAGAAATAAAAAGCCACAGGGAAAACACAGAGGGCAGCTGGTCAAAAAAAATAGAGAAAGGGTTTCCCGAAGCTTGGCTGCAATGTCAAAATGGCCCCAGAATTAATGCTTCCAGTCCAGGGGTGTGAAATCTCTAGCCCTTGGGGGTTCCCTTTCTGGACAGCAGACGGCTTCTCTGGTTATTTCTAATCAGTGACAGAAAAGACGTCCAAGGCTTATGAAAGGGCCAGGGAGCCTTTTGCATGAAACTCAGCTTTGGGAGGCAGCCCAAGGCCAACAGGACTTCGTCGGAAGTGAAACTTGCTGGGCACAGGATCCTGCTACATCAGCTGGGTTTCCCTGATGGTTACATGCCTGTTCCCAGACTAAATGCTGGTTGTGCATGTAGTTACTCCCGGCCACCAGACCTTACGGAGTAGCCACTGCTTCCCTGCCGTGTGCTATGTGTCTCAGTGGTCAGGCCCTCTCATGAGGTATGAACAGAGTCGAGACTTGTTGGTAAAAAAAGAGGGGGCTCACCTATACTGACGTGTTGCTTTTTCTCCGGTTCTGGCGGTAGATAGCATTCCCCTGCTCATAGGCAAGGGGGGCATCTGAGTGGTAAAAGCGCAGGCGGTATAGCAGCCGTATCCACTGTCCAAAGACCTGCTCCTGTTTGAGGGGGTGCGTCAAGAGTTGCAGGTAAAAAGTGCGGCCGTTGGCCAGGCGGACCTTGATCTGGTGTCGGGACTCATCATGGACGTAGAGCCGTACAAACTTCAAGGGCAGAAGCCTGTTGGATGAGAGGAGAAGGAAGCACGGGGCTTCATGAAGAGCAAGACTCATTCTCTGATGCCAAGATGCTGCTCGCATAGCAGCGTGACAGCAGTTCAGGAATGCTGGTCATTACCCTGTCTGGATATTCCAGTAAGATGCTCCATGATTTTCACATGGGTTCAATTTAGGGTGGTGGTGATGATTCATAAAGCATTCAGTGAGGACTGGCGCTACCATCAGGCAGATGCTGAAATGAGGCAGGAAGGTGTCGAAGGTCAGAGCTGTGCACCAACCAGCCTGCACTCTTCCTTCCCTCTGGTCTGCTGCATTCAGGTCTAGTAAAGGATATTGTCCCATCACCAGTGCTGCAGAAATATTAAACTGGCAGCTTTATATGTGGGATGGGAGATGGCACCACCCTTGGGTTAGCTCTCCCCTCAATAGCTTGGGCACAGCATCACGAAAAGGTCACTAGCCTGATGTTCCATCTAAGATCTGGTCTCTAAGATTGTTTAAACTAAAGGTAAACGTAAAGGTTCCCCTTGACATTCTTAGTCCAGTCGTGTCCGACTCTAGGGGGCGGTGCGCATCCCATTTTCAATGAGGCAGGAAGGTGTCGAAGGTCAGAGCTGTGCACCAACCAGCCTGCACTCCTCCTTCCCTCCGGTCTGCTGCATTCAGGTCTAGTAGAGGATATTGTCCCATTTATCAGTGCTGCAGAAAGATTAAACTGGCAGCTTTCTATGTGGGATGGGAGATGGCACCACCCTTGGGTTAGCATTTATCATATCAGTGCTGCAGAAAGATTAAACTGGCAGCTTTCTATGTGGGATGGGAGATGGCACCACCCTTGGGTTAGCTCTCCCCTCAATAGCTTGGGCACAGCATCACGAAAAGGTCACTAGCCTGATGTTCCATCTAAGATCTGGTCTCTAAGATTGTCCACAAATCCCCTAATCTATTTCCCATCTACAAAACAAATGAAACAGCCTAGACCAATGAGGCCTATAGCCCCACAGCGCCACCACGTCCCTCTTGTATACAAATCCCTTAATCTATTTGCCATCTACAAAACAAATGAAAGGAAGCAGCTTAGACCAATGAGACCTATAGCTCAGTATTGTCTACTGGCAATGACTTCCCAAACTTGGAGTTGTCAGGGGATTTGAATCCAGGACCAGTGCTTGCAAGTGTGGTTTCAGTTACTTATGGTAGAGGTATGGCATTTGTCTTTTTGTTTTCAGAGTCCAACTCCCTGAATTCTCCAGGCAAAATTCTAGCAGTTCTAGCCCACAGATATACCCCCCCCTACACACACAACCTAGCACTTACATCAGACACACAGAAACCAGCTCTAAGGCTTCAGTCCTGAGTGGTTTGTCTTGTTTTATTCTGAATGTACTTATTCGGAAAACAAATACAATTTTCTTCTCCAGCATCCAGGTGAGTGAAAATCATCTCCAGTGATTACTCCTAATTCAGATCCTTCAAGTCACCTTACTAGCTTGCTGCACTCTGTAGAACTACCATAAATTCTTACAGATGCAACCTTCTGATTTTGGTGTATGTAGGATTAGAGTGGTAGGGAGGGTAGATGCCCCCAGTAAGACCTCATGCCCTTTCCCTCACTGGATTCCCTGTGATTAGTTAAAAGCAAGTCATTTTTGACATCCAGGTTCATTGGGCAGGCTGAGAAGTAGTAGGCTGTTCTGTCAAGGCAGTAGAAATCACCATACCCAGAGTCAGTGGCGGTTGTTGATCCTGTTTCATTGGTGCTGCGAATCTGTTCCAGCTTTTACTCTGCACTTTACAAGAGCGATCCAATATGTTAAACTGTATCCTAAAAAAGTACCTTGGGTAACTGCAGTAAAGTGCATGCTACTGCTAGATAGCTCAATGGCTTAGGTCTCTGGCTCCTCTCGAGGAGGCACACTGGGGAACAGAACTCCCAACCTCTGGCTCCACAGCCACTGTGCCTCCTTGAGAGGGGCTGGATTCAGTGATCCATAGGGTCTCTTCCAGCTCTGCAGTTCAAGGGTTATTATTATTAAAACCCAGAGAGGATCCACAGCAGCCCCAAAGCTGGAGTCACCAACTAGCTGCCACTAACTAGGTCCACTTCCTCAGATAGCTACCTCCTCTAAAACTGTGATGATGATGATTCATCTCACCCCACATATGTTGCCAGTTTACTTTTCCACCAGAAATGAGACCATTCTAAGGTCAGTGGGTCTTAATAGTCCATTCAAAGCCAAACCACCTCAACATGCATGGCGCCATAACAGAAATAATATGCAGCAGTGTATTGTGGCTGGGGACATCCATTTCCTCTCACATTCCTACCTACTGGGAGGACTGCAGCTAAATCAAGAGAGGAAGAGCCATTTTGAAGATGAGGGCAGATGATGACAGAGGCACTTCTGTCCCACAAGCCTTGGCTGTGCTCTCTCTCTCTCTCTCTCTCTCTCACACACACACACACACACACACAGAGAGAGAGAGAGAGGGAGGGAGATGATTTGGGAGAGAACTTCGGGTTCAGGAGGTGTGGCTTCCAGGCTTAAGGAAGAAGAGATTTGCTTCCGAGTAGAGGTGCAGATGACTGTGCTATAAGTGCTTTGCGACTGTTGCAAAAGGAACTCACCCAAAGAGCTGTAACTCCTCCTCGGGGAACGGCAATTCTTCAGGACACTCACACTCACACTGGGTTGCTGCAGATGGGGTTGGCCGTGCGAGCAACATTAGATCCGGCAGTTCCAGGCTCGGGCTGGTGGCAGCAATGCCCACAGTGACTCTGTTGGCTACATCCCCGTTCTTGGTAACCTGGAAAGAGAGAGATTTACTTTTGTTCACACCTCTACATTGCAACTAACCAGCACTGGAGAAAGTCTCAGGAGTAGCAGAAGGCATGCATGAAGAAAACAGGCACCGGATCACTGAAATATATGGAAACCTTCCAATATCTGGATCAGCTAAACAAAGGCTCGGTCCATGCTGGGGAACATGGGGTTCCCCAGATATTGTTGGACTGAAATGGGTAAGGGATTATGACAATCATCCTTCAAAAACAGCCAGAGTACAGGTTGGAAGTACAGTAGGACCTCCTTATCTATGGGATCAGTATCCATTGATTCATTTATCCATGGCCTGAGAATATTAGAAATATTCAAAGAAAAATCCTAGAAATATATATTTGTAAAGATAAAGTTACTAGAACTGGCCACTAGGAACCAGAGACCATGGTATGTACTGTATAGCATTAACTAGAGAAATATTTCCACAATGTCATAACCAGAACTGGCAACTAGAGGGAGACAATGCTATGTATGTTGTTGCTTGTTGTTTAGTCGTGTCCAACTCTTTGTGACCCCATCGACCAGAGCACGCCAAGCCCTCCTGTCTTCCACTGCCTCCCGGAGTTGAGTCAAATTCATGTTGGTAGCTTCTATGCTATGTATAGTGTTCTTTATTAATGTTCACTATAATGGGGGGGGGGGGAATTGGAACTGAACAGATGCAGGGGTTCTACCTTATCACAGAACAAGTATGGCTATTACTGGCAATACAATATTTTGGGGAATAAGGCAAATTTCATGTTCTTTATGCAAATAAGATAACAATCAACAACACCATTGTTGTTTTCCCCATTTAGTGAATAATTTTATTTCTTCTTCTTTAACTTTTTGGTGGGAGGGAGTAACATGATTTCATGATGTATATTAAAGAATGTTTTTCTAATGTTATGGTCGATGAAGGAATGAAAAAGTATCAGAAAAGTGATGCAACAAGTTACAGAACATGTTACTTTTTTAAAAATGCAGTAGAGGTTAATTTTTGGCTGGCAGGACCTCACTGTGAATTAAATAATGGACAATTTGGAGGGTTACCAGTATCCTAACCCTGAACTAGATGACAGAAGCAGAAGATGACCAGAAAGGGATGAAGGGTATTGGAGGACACCACCTACCACAAATTTTGAAGTAAGATTAATCAGCCAACAAGCCAGTCAACTGCTATCCATGGACTAAAAAGAACGGGGGCCACTTTGGACAGAGAAATGATTGGGGCTAGTCCTCTGGGGACGACATCCTCTGTCGACCCCGGAGAAGGGGACGACAGAGGATGAGATGGTTGGACAGTGTCACTGAAGCTCCCAACATGAATTTGACCCAACTCCGGGAGGCAGTGGGAGACAGGAGGGCCTGGTGTGCTCTGGTCCATGGGGTCACGAAGTGTCGGACACGAATAAACAACAAGTCCTGGAAACTGTTCTATCAAGGAAGCTTCTTCACCCCTTAAGGCACAATGGACCACTTTACAGGATCTAAGAGCTGGTCCTGCCCCCATTTTACATTTCCAGACTTTCATGTGTCATCCAACAGTTCTTGAAAGCAAGTTCCTACAGTGGATAGTCCTCTGGGGACAACATCCTCTGTCGTCCCAGGAAAAGGGGAGGACAGAGGACGAGATGGTTGGACAGTGTCATCGAAGCTACCAACATGAATCTGACCCAACTCCGGGAGGCAGTGGAAGACAGGAGGGCCTGGTGTGCTCTGGTCTATGGGGTCATGAAGAGTCGGACACGACTAAACAACTAAACAACAACAAGTCCTGTAAACTGTTCTATCAAGGAAGCGTCTTCACCCCTTAAGGCACAATGGACCACTTTACAGGATCTGAGAGCTGGTCCTGCCCCCATTTTACATTTCCAGACTTCCACGGGTCACCCAACAGTTCTTGAAAGCAACCTCCTATTTTCCAAAAAGTCCTGCTTGGGGCCAAAACAAGGTGTTTCTCTCTCTCTGTGTAGCATTTGATAGTATTGTACCCTGAAAGCTTCTAGGACAGTGATTCCCAGCCTTGGGTCCAAACTCCCAGAAATCCTGGTTAACACAGCTAGCAGTGAAGGCTTCTGGAAGTTTTAGTCCAAGAACATCTGTTCTAGAACCATGATTTTCTATTTTAGATAGTTTCTCTCTCATGGCAAGCTATGGCTGAAATCTCATTGTTTAGTGTAGCCTTATTAATGTAGACCCAGTGAATAAGTGAAGATTTGGTGAATCAGCTCCTCCATAAATTCCATTGATTTAAATAATCCTACTCTAGTTGTGACTTATTATGCTAAAATAAGTTACAACAAGAGCAGGCCCTTTTAAATAAATGGAACTTAACCCAGGAGTTGACTCACCAAATCTCCACTAATTCAAGTTACTATGGTAAGTAATAGAATTTCAGTCCATGCGTGAACCACAGGCCAAACGATTCCTAGTTATGCTGTGAAAAGAGAGATTAAAAGTTATGATGCAAGACAGAAAACATTTTCCTTTTCAAAAAATTTGATTCCTTCTATCCAATTAATGTCAATAACACAACACAAGGGAAAATGGGCAGTTTCAACAGTGTAATGAACATATATCAGGTAAGTATTCTTAGAATGGGTAGGCATATATTATAAACAGCTCTTTGGTCATACTAAAATTAAAACGTTATTAAGTTTTGCTGTTTTTTTAACTTACAAATTGAAAAAGTGGGTTGGATCTTCCAGATGTATTTATAATTAAGTCATGATTTACATGAATTTTTCTTAGAAATATTATTGACTTTTGCAGATGTTCATGAAGAAACCTACACCTGCTTATGTATTCATATACTATATGCCTGTAACATGGAGTTTATGGGAGGAACTGTAAATGGCTTTTCCAAGTCCTCTTAGCTGCAAAAAGATTTATATTTCAAAGCTAGAAATTTAAACTCTTTCTATTTATCGCTCAATAATCAGAAGTCACTTCTATCTACGTATATGCATCACATATTTTATAGTTGCAATTTCTAGTTGTATACCTCTTAGGACATTGGGACTATAGTGTGTTGCTCACAACATTTTGATCTCATGAATGCCCTTGTGAATGGGCTTCTTCTCCCATCTCCCCCACCGCCCCATTTTATTATCAACATTAGTCATGACAAACTTAAGTATGGCAGAAGACTGCTCACTGCTTTCCACTGGGCTCCTTACCTGCATAAAATTGCTTTCAAACAAAGGACAATCTTTTAGCATACCATACTCCCCGGTGGCTAGGCATCTCCGCAGGTCCCCCATTCCAAAGCCTGGACATTCGGTGGATACAGAAGGGGTCTGGGCTACTGTGGCCTAGAACCTATTGGGGGGCAAGAAGGACAAATGGAACTGCTATGAAATTCTGTTCTAGCTAACAGAAAGGCACTGTGGGCAAAATCTGGACAGCTAATAAGTCACCCACTCAAACTTGATTGAACTTACATTTCCCCATAAGGATGCCCTCCAGATGTGCTGGGTTACAACTTCTCTGCAATAGGTTCCCCATTTCCCCCCGGGTAAACTTCACAACAGAGAACGAAAAATTCTGTTCTTTTCTGGGCTGCTGCAGGAAGGTATACCACAAGCATACCTAGGAGAGGTTGTGGCTGCGGCAGCATTAATTGCTCTAGAGTAGTGGTTCCTGATCTTTGGTTTCCCCCCTTGCTCTTGGACTACAACCCCCAGAAGCCTTCACCATTAGTTGTGCTGGCTAGGATTTCTGGGAGTTGCAGTCCAAGAACACCTGAGGACATAAGGTTGGGAACCACTGCTCTGTCTAAAGGAACTGGGTGCAGTTGAGTGGGGCAATGGGCATTGTAGTCCAATAAAAAAAAACCCAAGGAATTATGTTGGAGAAAGCTCATCTAGCACAGTGTGGGGGCTGCTTCCTCCCAGCAGCGAGGTTGTATTTCAAATATAAAACATAGAGGGAGGTGTGTGCTATGCATTGTCTACCAACTGGAAGCAGAAAGTCTTACGGATTTCACTATCCATGGTGGATCACAACCTTAACCGATTTATTGAGTTAGGTGATACCTTTATTGAATCACTTTAAAAAAAATCACACAAACCGCAAGCTTTCGAGGGTAAATCCTACTTCCTCAGGCTGTGCCTTTGTGTGATTTTTTTTAAAAAGTGCTTCAATAAAGGTATCACCCAGCTCTTGCATTTGTGCAATCGTGACCCCCTGATTCTTTCCGATTTATTGGGGGACACCAGCGGACCCTCGACCCGCCCCAAGCCTTGAATGGCCGGTGGACCGTGATTGGCTCCTCCGCTCGATGGCCCCGCCTTGACCACTCCCATCTCCCAGACTGCTTTGCAGCTCTAGGGGCGGGGGCGCGTGTCCCTCCAGTCACGTGACGCTGAAAAAGGGGAGCCATGGCGGCGGCGGAAAAAGTAGCCGGGTTGTGTTGCCGCTCCTGCCCGGTTTTCCTCGTCCTCCTGTCGCCCTTCCTCGCCCAGGCCGCTGGAGTCGGGAGTTGCAGGGGAGAGTCGGCGCTGAGGGTAAGGCTGGTTAAATATGGACGGACGCCTCCCGGGGACTGGCCGCCGGGAGACCGGCTTGTCTCTGTGAAGAGTTTAAAAAATACGATGGAGTCCATCATCTTCCTTGGCAGTGAGGGGGGGGGGAGAGCAGGATACTCCCGAGGGAACCTCACTGTTCGGGGGGGGGAAATAATTCCCCCCCTGACGCTTTCCAAGGTGCTGCCGTGGGTCTATTTGTCATCTTTTTAACGACTTGGAGTAAATGAAGTAAGTACTCATCAGATTGATGCCTTTGAATTGTGGTGCTGGAGGGGAACCTCACTGTTCCCGGGGGGGGGTGGAAATATTTTTTCCCCCTGACGCTTTCCAAGGTGCTGCCATGGGTCTGTTTGTCATCTTTTTAACGACTTGGAGTAAATGAAGTAAGTCCTCATCAGATTTGCCTAGGGCACCAGACCCTGGGAAGGCTTGCCAAAACTTCAGAAGACAACATCTGGGTTCAAGAGGGCCTTAACAGACAGAAGAATTGGGTCGATGCAAACACAGGGAGTGTCCATAAGGAGAAACTTTAGGTTTTGTAGGGAAATTCTGATGCACAAGTAAATGTACAGGATGGATGACACCTGGGTTAGAAAGGATTGGGGGACATTTTGTAGGCTGCAAGCTAAAGCATAAGTCAGTGGTGTGATGTGAAGGCCAAAAAAGGTTAATGCAATTCTAGTCTGTAGCAAGAGACGTACAGTGTCCTGCTCAATTGTGCCATTCTGTTTTGCTTTGGAATGCTGTGTCTGTCTGTTCTTAGCAGCATGGTTTAAGATGTCAGGACACTGGAAGTCAAGCCCTAGGAAGAACAGCTGAGGGAACTGTGTATACTTAGGCGGAAAAAGATGATGTGACAGCAGTCTTCAAATAAATGGAGAACTGTCTTGGAGAAGGAGCAGCTGGTTTGTTTTCTACTGCTTCAGGAGGCAAGAACCAGTAGGTTCAAATTAAAAGAAATATTTTTTTTCTGAACATATCAAAAACTGCTGTACAGTAAGAGCTGTTTTGACACTGGAGCAAATTCCTTTTCTTTTAAGATGCTGGCACTGGCCAGAATCCTCTTGCTCCACTGCAAGAGCATTGCAGCTTTGTGGAGCTTGCATGAAGAGGTATCTACTACCTTCCTGTGCAAATGTGAGCCCATTGAACCCAGTTAGAAAGGTGTCCCACTTGATATTATGGAGCACTAGACAAAGGAGCATTATGTTCTGTTTGTGGTGCAAGAAGACTCTTTGTCTTTCTCCACATATTCTGTGTTATTGATCATTGGCTGTGTATCTGTCCTTGTAAATATTCATGAGGAAAAGGGAAGCCCACATCAGGACAACTGTGTCATTGACATTCATGAGATGAAGCAAACCAGATAAAACTGCTTCGGGGTGTTATGGAAAATGAGATCTTATTGGGAAGTGGCCTTGGTAGTTCGATGAAAGAGACCATGAAAATGAGAATACATATTACTTGAGATCCACTGATGTAGTGTTTAGTGTGGAAATAGGAATTGATCAATTCTAAATTCATAGGCATGTAGAAGCTGCCTTGTAGCAACTCATATTACTGGTCTATCTGTCTGTGTTTTTCCATGCCATCAAGTCAAAATGAACTTATAGTGACCCTAATAGGGCTTTAAAGGTAAGTGGGATTTTTAAGGAGTGGTATTATCAGTTTCACTCCCCCCCCAGTAACTTTCCATAGCCAAGTGGGGATTTGAAACCTGTTCTCCAGTCCTAGTTTGTCACTTTATCCACTGCACCACACTTGGTCTGTCTAACTCATCATTATTATATACACTGACAGGAGCTACCGAGCTGTAGTGGTCCCAAGTAAGTATTCTCACAATTGTAGCTCCCAAGTCTGGGGCTTGTGGGGAATATACATTATGGGTATTTGCAGGTCCCTCCAGTTGTAGCCAGCAATACTGGTAGTAAAGAATAATTTAGTTTGCAGGTAAACAACATCTGGAGGTTCACACATTTCCTATTCATTGCCCAAGGTGTTCACAGTTTAAAAAGACTTGTGTGGAGTGAACTTGTTGTCCTGCACCACCAAATCATATATGAAAAGCTAGGGTTGTTATCTTATTTGTGTAGCCTTTGATGCAACTGAGTTGTTTCGTCTTCCGCCTGGTTTATCCTAATTAGCACTGAGTAAAACTTCATTCTATTCCATTAAGCAACTGTTGCAGTCTGGGGCTTTTTCATCTTGCACAGCAGAATCTTTCTTTGGTGATCATTTTCCTGTGACCCATTCTTGATTTTTAAGAGTCTGTCATTGGTCGTGCCCCAAATTTTTTTAAATCTTACTCCAAATCCTCTTTCGTAATGAAAGATCATCCGTGTTCTCATATTAGCTAGAGTAAATTTGATGCAGGATCTTAAAACATACTCTCACTGAATGTCATCATTGTCACATAGGTCATTACTGGTCAACAGTGCCTTCTTAGTCGCCATAGAAGAAATGGATCAGTCTGCAGGCCAAACAGCTCACAAATATAACACCGACAGTGACAGTGTTTGCAAATAAATGTGAGATTGTTTAAGTCATTTGGGATGATGTGCTGTTGACCTCCAAGCCACCAGCTATAAAAAAGATTTACTTGAAGGTTCCATTAAGAAATTGCTGAGCAGGAGTTTATTAGGAACTTTGAATCAAGTTGCCTGGGCCTTAAGAAGGCTGGAGCTAGCTGAATTAGTTATTGACTGTAGAGCTAGAGTTTGGGAGATCAATTCCCTAGAGTGCCTCTCAGGGGAAGAGCCAATCTGTGTAGCCCTGGGTAAGCTGCTTAGTCCCAGAGTGCCTCCAGAAGAAGGTTATTTCTCCTATTCCCTCGGTAAACCACTTTTGAATACAGTACCTGAAAAACCCTGAAGAGAGTCACCATAAATCAGAATTGACTTGATGGCACATGCTTTTTTTATTTTATAACGCAGTTTTGTATTTTTGATTTTAATATGATTTGAAGTGCTGTGAACCTTGCTGACAAAGGTCCGCATAGTCAAAGCTGTGGTTTTTCCAGTAGCGATGTAGGGAAGTGAGAGCTGGACCATAAAGAAGGCTGACCACCAAAGAATGGATGCTTTTGAATTGTGGTGCTGGAGGAGACTCTTGAGAGTCCCCTGGACTGTAAGGAGAACAAACCTATCAATTCTAAAGGAAGTCAACCCTGAGTGCTCACTGGAAGGACAGATCCTGAAGCTGAGGCTCCAGTACTTTGGCCATCTCATGAGAAGAGAAGACTCCCTGGAGAAGACCCTGATGTTAGGGAAGTGTGAAGGCAGGAGGAGGACGACAAAGGACGAGATGGATGGATAGCATCACCAAAGCTACCAACATGAATTTGACCCAACTCTGGAAGGCAGTGGAAGACAGGAGGGCCTGGCGTGCTCTGGTTCATGGGGTCACAAAGAGTCGGACATGACTTAACAACTAAACAACAACAACAAATGCAAATTGAAACAAAAGAAAGAAGGATCCTGGAAAGAGTTGCCATAAATTGGAATTGACATGATGGAACGTAATTATGATTGTTAATTAAGAACAAGGATTTCCCCTGTAATGGATGAACATAGGTAAAGGAGAGAGACTGTATTATCACCATGTTGTGGCTGGTCACTACTTAGCTTGCATATATATGATTATTTGTTTATTATTTACATTTATGATATCCCACCAGTTCTCCAAGGAATTCAGGGTAACAGATGTATCCTCACAGCAACACAGTGAGGTAGCTCAGCCTGAGAGGAAGCGAGAGAGATTGACTGAAGGTTACAGTATGACTTGATGTCTCAGGGGGGGCTAAGATCTCCTGCATCTGAACCCTATTACATTTCATGCTATTCTGGCCTTTTCATTTACAATGTTTTTGTTTTTGCTTTTTAGCTTTTGTGTGCTGTGTAAAGGGTACATCTCTACATGATACTGTTTGTTCAATATGCTGCCTTTTTTTCCTATTGGTGGCTTGCAGTCAATAACTACATCATAATCTCCATTAAAACACCTAGGTTTTTTGTGGATTTATGAATCTTGGGCTCCCCAGGAGCAGCAAACTACAATCTTGAGCATGATTGGAACCAGGCTGGTATATTCTAAGAAGCTGTGCATTTCTCCTTTCTTTGGCTTGCTTGTGTGAGTCATCTATATGCCCCAACTCACTCACAGAAAATTAAGATAAGCCAGGAATATTGGTTTATTGTGAAGTATTAATATAAGAACATAAGAAGGGCCCTTCTGGATCAGGGCAAGGGGCCATCTAGTCCAGCTTCCTATATCTCACAGTGGCCCCACCAGATGCTTCTGGGAGCACACGAGACAACTAGGTACCTGTCTCCTTATACCCCTCCCCTTCATCTGGCATTTGGTTAATGTGACCTTTTAACTCAGTATAGCCAGCAGTGCATGTATCTGATGATGGAGGCTGTAATCAATGAAAGTTTGTGCTACATCAAATCTATCTTTAAGGTGCCATGAAACTCTTGGTTACTACTGATCTGTACTTTTGTGGTGTTGCCTAGTATGCTCACCAAACACTAACAGGTCAGGATTTTGTGGTCTATGCATAATATCAAAACTATATGAATTAAGTCCCATGTGCAAAGGCCATATTCTACTACACTGACACAGAATCTTTAGTTTCTGTGTTTATTGCACATGTGCGTATTGTCAGCTGTATGCAGCTTTTCAGAACTTGTTGGATTGCCATTCTTATCTTTCTTCACTGTTTTCTAAAATATCAGGAGCGCTCTAGTGACATTTGGGAGAACCATCTTTTTTGACTTTAGCTCCCAGAATCTCCCAGCTAGTATGGCTACTGACCCTGTTGGCTGGAGGATTCTGGGACTTGTGGTCCAGAAATACCTTCTCCAGGCTCTGCATCAGAGGACCACATGTTCCTGGCTTCTCTCATAAGAAAGCAGATGCTGTGTATGTTGCATAAACATACATGGAGATTATGGAGTAAAGCAGGAGCATAGCAGAGATCAGGGCAAATCAAATATGTATTGGAATTTGCCATCTTTTGCTTCCAGCCAGGTGAGGTTCGTGACTCTGAGGCCTGTGGACTGAGCCTGCAGTTGGAGCACTCATTTGAACTGGGTGAGTATTTGGGGTGTACGTGTAGTTGGGCTGGACCAACAGTTTATGAAGATTTTAATTAAATAAAGCAGGAGCATAGCAGAGATCAGGGCAAATCAAATATGTATTGGAATTTGCCATCTTTTGCTTCCAGCCAGGTGAGGTTCGTGACTCTGAGGCCTGTGGACTGAGCCTGCAGTTGGAGCACTCATTTGAACTGGGTGAGTATTTGGGGTGTACGTGTAGTTGGGCTGGACCAACAGTTTATGAAGATTTTAATTAAATGCCATGTCTGAGGTGGGTTTGCAGGATTTAGGGCTTCAGACCCTGTCCGCAGCCTATACAGCTAAACATCTGAATGGCCCTTGCACAGCTGCAAGCACATCCACATATGTTGTCAACATGCTCTTGGGAATCTGGCTAAAATAGATTTCCAGATGGCAGAGAGAGAAGCATGTGTGCTTCTGCGGTTTATTGTGAAGTATTAATATAAGAACATAAGAAGGGCCCTTCTGGATCAGGGCAAGGGGCCATCTAGTCCAGCTTCCTATATCTCACAGTGGCCCCACCAGATGCTTCTGGGAGCACACGAGACAACTAGGTACCTGTCTCCTTATACCCCTCCCCTTCATCTGGCATTTGGTTAATGTGACCTTTTAACTCAGTATAGCCAGCAGTGCATGTATCTGATGATGGAGGCTGTAATCAATGAAAGTTTGTGCTACATCAAATCTATCTTTAAGGTGCCATGAAACTCTTGGTTACTACTGATCTGTACTTTTGTGGTGTTGCCTAGTATGCTCACCAAACACTAACAGGTCAGGATTTTGTGGTCTATGCATAATATCAAAACTATATGAATTAAGTCCCATGTGCAAAGGCCATATTCTACTACACTGACACAGAATCTTTAGTTTCTGTGTTTATTGCACATGTGCGTATTGTCAGCTGTATGCAGCTTTTCAGAACTTGTTGGATTGCCATTCTTATCTTTCTTCACTGTTTTCTAAAATATCAGGAGCGCTCTAGTGACATTTGGGAGAACCATCTTTTTTGACTTTAGCTCCCAGAATCTCCCAGCTAGTATGGCTACTGACCCTGTTGGCTGGAGGATTCTGGGACTTGTGGTCCAGAAATACCTTCTCCAGGCTCTGCATCGGAGGACCACATGTTCCTGGCTTCTTTCATAAGAAAGCAGATACTGTGCTTGTTGCATAAACACACATGGAGATTATGGAGCAAAGCAGGAGCATAGCAGAGATCAGGGCAAATCAAATATGTATTGGAATTTGCCATCTTTTGCCTCCAGCCAGGTGAGGTTCGTGACTCTGAGGCCTGTGGACTGAGCCTGCAGTTGGAGCACTCATTTGAACTGGGTGAGTATTTGGGGTGTACGTGTGGTTGAGCTGGACCAACAGTTTATGAAGATTTTAATTAAATGCCATGTCTGAGGTGGGTTTGCAGGATTTAGGGCTTCAGACCCTGTCCGCAGCCTATACAGCTAAACATCTGAATGGCCCTTGCACAGCTGCAAGCACATCCACATATGTTGTCAACATGCTCTTAGGAATCTGGCTAAAATAGATTTCCAGATGGCAGAGAGAGAAGCATGTGTGCTTCTGCTGGTGTATACCAGTGGTTCTTAACCTTTGTTACTCGGATGTTTTTGAACTGCAACTCCCAGAAACCCCAGCCAGCACAGTTGGTGGTGAAGGCTTCTGGGAGTTGCAGTCCAAAACTCCTGAGTAACACAAGGTTAAGAATCAGTGGTGTATACAATAGAACGTGGGAAAGTTGCTTGCAGAATTCCCCCTCCAGAATGGCCATACTGATAGGAGGAGTTTTGTAGTTCAAAAAACTCCAAGCCTTTTCCAAGTTCTGCTCTTGTCTCTCTGTTCTTTACTTTGCCAAAACCATTGGGTGTCCATGGTAGCACAAGAGTAGTATTGACATCCTGTCCTCTGATTAGGTCCCAACTGGTCCAGAAATACCTTCTCCAGGCTCTGCATCAGAGGACCACATGTTCCTGGCTTCTCTCATAAGAAAGCAGATGCTGTGTATGTTGCATAAACATACATGGAGATTATGGAGTAAAGCAGGAGCATAGCAGAGATCAGGGCAAATCAAATATGTATTGGAATTTGCCATCTTTTGCTTCCAGCCAGGTGAGGTTCGTGACTCTGAGGCCTGTGGACTGAGCCTGCAGTTGGAGCACTCATTTGAACTGGGTGAGTATTTGGGGTGTACGTGTGGTTGAGCTGGACCAACAGTTTATGAAGATTTTAATTAAATGCCATGTCTGAGGTGGGTTTGCAGGATTTAGGGCTTCAGACCCTGTCCGCAGCCTATACAGCTAAACATCTGAATGGCCCTTGCACAGCTGCAAGCACATCCACATATGTTGTCAACATGCTCTTAGGAATCTGGCTAAAATAGATTTCCAGATGGCAGAGAGAGAAGCATGTGTGCTTCTGCTGGTGTATACCAGTGGTTCTTAACCTTTGTTACTCGGATGTTTTTGAACTGCAACTCCCAGAAACCCCAGCCAGCACAGTTGGTGGTGAAGGCTTCTGGGAGTTGCAGTCCAAAACTCCTGAGTAACACAAGGTTAAGAATCAGTGGTGCATACAATAGAACGTGGGAAAGTTGCTTGCAGAATTCCCCCTCCAGAATGGCCATACTGATAGGAGGAGTTTTGTAGTTCAAAAAACTCCAAGCCTTTTCCAAGTTCTGCTCTTGTCTCTCTGTTCTTTACTTTGCCAAAACCATTGGGTGTCCATGGTAGCACAAGAGTAGTATTGACATCCTGTCCTCTGATTAGGTCCCAACAATGTTATGTTGGTGAGGAAGGGTTTGGGATTGTGTGTCCCTTGGGCCTGATTGGAGAGTGTCTTCAGTGGGTTAACAAGGGGTGTGGTGAGAGTGGGATCAGGGAATCTTGGTATCTCCAGAAACACATTTAAGCTTTTCCACTTGCATTGGAGTTTAATCCTAACCAAGCTTTCCACAGAGGGAGGGGTTTCCCCCTCTCACATCATCACTGAAATGCAGCAGAGAGTACAGCTGGTAAAACAAGGTGACGAAGGGAGGTGGTTTTTGGCAATTTTTCTCCTCCCCAGGGACATCCCAAGACACTGGGGACAAGATAATTGTTTTGGGATCTGGATTGTGCCCATAGTGTGCAATGCATCTGGGTACTAGGATACATCTTGCAGAACCAGGGCAAGGACCTCAGGCACTCCTGGCTTTCTGTCTCCCTCAGATGACAGCATCAGATTCAAAAAACGGGGCACCCTCCTGTGGAATGTGGGCCCTGAGTCCAGCCTCTCACTGAGCCAGAAGCAACTGACGGAGGAGGAGCGTAATAAACTTAGGGTAAGTATGGATACAAGGCGAGTAGTTGGGAGTTTCCCAAATAGAGATGGGCATGCAGGACTTCATGTTGGGTCGTCTTAAGTCATTGGCAAGGCATCACAGGTGCTGTGTGTTTTTTAACCTCACCTCACCTGCTGGCACCCCATTCACCAGCTGGAACACGCTGCTCATTCGCTCCCAACCAAGCCATCTTTCAGCCCCTGCAGGAGCACACAGACTTCCCTTCCTTGCCTCCTCCAGCAGATGCCCACTCAGATGAGGTGGCAGGGCAGGGATTCCTGCAGTGCCGCCTGTGAATGGCCACTTTGTGTGTTTTTTAACCTCACCTCACCTGCTGGCACCCCATTCACCAGCTGGAACACGCTGCTCATTCGCTCCCAACCAAGCCATCTTTCAGCCCCTGCAGGAGCACACAGACTTCCCTTCCTTGCCTCCTCCAGCAGATGCCCACTCAGATGAGGTGGCAGGGCAGGGATTCTTGCAGTGCTGCCTGTGAATGGCCACTTTCTGAAGGAAGCAGAGAAGGGAAGTCTGTGCTCCTTCTGGGACTGGAAGATTGTGCAAGGGGGAGGGAACAGAAGCACTTTGTGACCTGGCACAAAGTGCTTCGTGCCCATTTCTTCCCAGCCCTGGAAAAGTAGGCATAGCCAACTAGGAGATGGGCCCTTTAGAAGTGGGGCATTTCTTTCTGGTGAGGCTGGTTGGGAAAGGATAAGAGGTTGTTGAGTATATTCATACCAAGAAAGAGATGAATTGTGGGTGGGAATGGAGAGGATCCTTGTTAGCTATGAGGAAGGCTTGCCAGGGTACTGGGCTTGTATTCTGCCTTATCCTGCCAGTTGTCAGCAAGGGTATGTGTCCATGGCAAGAAAAGACTATTGTGGCTTTTGAAGTCCATGGCAAGAAAAGACTATTGTGGCTTTCCAGATTTTTTTTTACTATTGAATTTGTGGTCCAAAAACATCTGGAAGGGTCACAGATGTTCTGTTGTTTAGTGGTCCAAAAACATCTGGAAGGGTCACAGGTGTTCTTCTGTTGTTTGTAGTGAGTAAGCATCCTGATAAGGTGTCAGTCAAACATACATAACACATGACACGACAAGTTTCAAGCTCTCTTGGATGAGGACTGAAAATAGTTGACTTCTCTATGACTTTCCATTGATTGAAAGTTGGAATAAAATCATTTGACTAACTGTCCCAATTTGGGGTGGGCCGCACATGTTTTTGCACCCATGTTGGCTGCCACCACCCCTAAAAGGAGGGTGCTGAATTTTGGTCTGCACCAAAATAAAAACTCCTTTTCCTCCCTTCTTTGCCTTCTGGAAGAGATGAAGATCATCTAAAGTTCATGGGGCTTTGAGTTGCAGAAAGGGGCCAGGCACTCTTCTATATCCTGTACAGCCACTGCAGTTGTGCTTGAAGTTTGGGCAGTGGCTGTTGGAATTTCAGTAGTATAGTTTTCAGGAGGTTGGAAGAGGTATCCAACGTACCACATAAATGTCAGGAAATTGGCCACCTCAGCCTAGATCATAGGAACAGAATTTACAAAAGTAAATGGATGTGCTCTGAGATGACTGGCCTTTGATTTGGTTTCTTTGACCCGGGGGGTGGGGGAAGGGGGGAGAGACAAAGGTTTCCTTTTTATCTACTTATGTGTCATCTCTTTGTCTTCCCAAATCCCAGGAAGTGGCTGCAGAGGGGGGTCTGTACCGTGTACGGATCCCACGACGGCCTCTGGGAGGCATCGAAGAGAATGGGGTTGAATATGTTGCCTCTTTCGTCCGAGCAGTAAGTACCGCTGTCTACTACTCTGAGCCCTCTGCAGAGGAGAATTTGGCTCAGATCTTCTTGTGGAGCTATGCAAACGGCACAAGTGTTGGAAACATATTGCCCAAGGTTGAGAAACCACCATAGATGTGATCAGTTGTACACTGACCTGTATGACTCAGTATGCAGCTGATCATGTCTGTAGTGATTTCTTAACTTGAGATGATTTGCTTCCAGAGGTTTCACTTTTTATGCTATGCCAGCATCACTAGGTAAGAGGATTGGGGTCTTTGAAACCTGTTCATCATTCTGGACAAATCTTTTTTTGCTGGAATACCCAAATAGCTAGCTTAGATCTGTAAAATCTTTAGACTCTTATCAAGGGGAAAGGCATTTAGCTTGTCTTCTGCTTAAGGGGGCGGGTCTTCAAAAATGTGGAGGAATGGGGGCTTGGATCCTAAGATAAATTAATGTTAATTGAGCTGATGGAAGGAGAATGTTCCGTTGCCTCACTCTCCAGTACCTCCCTGTACTTCATTCCATATTGTTCAGGCAGCCAGTAGTGGAGGCTGTAGTATCATGAAATTCTCCATGGGCCTCAGATGCATCTTCAGAAAAAGCTATTCAAAACTGTAAATTCGGTATGACTGAAGGAAACCTAACTGAACATGAGTAATTTATATTTAAGAGCCAGAGTGTTAAGAGTGCTGGACTAAGATGCAGGAGGTCTAGCCACGTGACAAGTGGGTGACCTTGGGGCAATCACATCCCCTCAACTTGGCCTACCTTGCAAGGTTATTGTGAAGGTTAACATGTGAGAAGGGGAGTCATTTATGCTCTATTGAGCACAGTACAGGTGGGATGTAAATGTAATCCATGAACTAGATGAATATTCAATGGAAAATATTGAATTTTCCATTGAATAATGTTATCTCCTCCCCCTCAGTGGCTGATGAAATGAGAAACATTCTGTGATGCTTCTCAAGGTTGCTTGGGTTTGGCAAGCCTTTAGCAGAAGGGAGCTTACCATTTGCAGGTGCGGTCTTAAAGCCTGCTCTTTTTCATGTGCTCGGATCATAACCATTAACATTTAATCCCCCTTCCCCAATATAGGGTCCTTCTAGTGTGGTTCACTACAAATCCCATGATCCAATGGGATGATGGATATTGTTGGCCACTACATTGGGGGAGCAGATGGTGAAATGTGGGAAGACGGTGTCTACTAGCTAAGTTCAGTCTGGGTCAGTTTGTAGGGATGGGCACAGACAGTTTATTTAGCAGCCAGACAGGTGTTTGGTTCTTCAAAGCCCCACCTCCTCTAGTGGTGTCCACTCAGAAGTAGCAGCCTGGCTTCCCTGCTCCATCTCTGGGCGCTGTCTCTGAGTGGTTGCCTGCTGGAGGAAACAGGGCTTTGAAGCATTGAGCTCCTATTTGACTGGTTGTTTTGGGTTTTTTGGGCTCTTTGGCTGTGTTCTGAAGGTTGTTCTTCCTAACGTTTCGCCAGTCTCTGTGGCTGGCATTTTCAGAGGACATCACTCTGTGCTCTGGTGTAGTTGGCTTGGGAGTGTAGTTGGCTGGTGTAGTTGGCTTGGCACTCCCAAGCCGCCCAGAGTGGTAGAATATACCAGATGGGCAGGATATAAATCGAACAAATAAATAAATAAATAAATAAATAAATAAATAAATAAATAAATAAATAAATAAATAAATAAATAAATAAATAAATAAATAAGAACAACCTTCAGAACATGGCTA